TAATTAGACACATTCAGACATCTCATGTTGGTATAGGCGATGTTGTGTAATGCCTTTGTAACATCATCTGTCGTGTTAAAGTATTTAGGCACGAACTCTTCTAATGGAATACGACGTATCCACATATCGTCATACATGCTGTCTAATACTTCTCTGTTTTTGTTTGCCTTTGGGTCGTCCTTGGGACCAAGTCGCTTACACACCTTAAGCAAAATGTTATACTTAAAAATCTGATCTATACATTCATCAGAGTATTCACCAGCATTCCTTGTATTAGTCAGATCATCACACACAGGTGTAAGCTGTTTCACATCACCTGCTCCTATGATAATTTTGTCTGGGTTGTTGTTCACAAACCCTCTTATGCACTTCAGAACGCGCAGTCCGTTCATGTAAATCTCATCAAAGACTATCACATTATACTGGCCCTGATCAAATTCAGGAAGCTTGTCTCCATCGCCCACAGGTACAGAGAAAAACTTGCTTGTCTGGAAGTACTGTCTGTTTATCTCACCAACTGGGTTTATCGTTCTACATTCCTTAAACAATTCCATGACACTCTCATTATAGTATGACTTATGTAGTGGATGTAGTGGATCAAACAAGGACTTGTTAAATACATACATTGCTTTAGACATGTTGTTGTAGATCTGCTCAGTTCTCACTGATATAGTTCCGTCAATGGAGTTGTTTACAAGGTTCTGGGTCTTAACCTTGTATTTGATGACATTCTTTCTTATCTTGAATTAAAAATTCAGTTCTGATACTATACCTGCACTGAATTTAACTTGCGGCTCGTGTCCTGCATTTTTGCTTTCACAAAAGAGTTCGGCAAGGTCATGACCGTCGTATATCAGAGTGTATTCGGCTTCGCCTGTAGCCTTTGCGCATTCGGCTTCGCTTTTAGCATTCGCGTGTTCGGCTTCTCCATTGATTTTTTTGATGTCGTTTAGTACATTGAAAGGGTTCGTCCTTCTCATTCAGGTGATAATCTGGTGAAGCGATCACTGAAATATCATACCCAGAGCTTCTTGGTATCATCTGCCTTAATACATTCAAATTATCGGTTACTGTGTATATATGGTTGTTCTTCACAATGGCATATAATGCTGGTATATGATGATCTCGCATAGGTGGGTCATATTGAAAAATCAGTCTCTCAAAAGCATTGTATATTCTGACTTGGATTTTGTAGTGCTCAAACACTTTAACCATTTCCTTTAGCGGACAAACTAATAAGGAACTTCATCAATGCCAAGACAGACCAGCAAAAACAAAAGGCAAGTGACCAATACAACAAGGTATACGATAAACACAAGGAAAAGAAACCACTAGGAGAACGAATGTAAACAGCAAAGCGTGACAACAAACTCACAGAAATCCGCAGACGACTAACACAGAAGACCGCAGTTCAGCGAATACAGAAGAGGGTGAGAGCGGAACAGTCCACAACAACACATGCATATTCCGTAGACCTTATGTTCTTCAAATTTAAACTCCCCAAGGATGCCATCAAAGCATCCTTCAAAGACAGCAAGGGTAGACCCCTAATCCCGATCTGGTATGAGACTAAGAGAGCAACTATTCAAACAACAGACTATACTGAAGACTTATCGGGCAGACGTGTGTTTCAATACGAGACCAAAGACAGGTATTTTTTCAAGAAACTATTGAAGACAATAATGTCTGACCCAGATATGGAAGAAACCCTTCGCTTCGTCCATTCCTACATAGTGTGCATCAAAGTTAAGGATGTAGACAGAGTAGATGGTGCCACTGATTTTATACCAGTGGACGAGAATTTAACCGACACTTCCCATGTGAGCATGTTTCACAGATACATACAAACTCCATTAAACCCAGCATACGAAACACTTTAGGAAGCAATCAAAGTAAACCATTATCAAGGAAACCAGTGTTGGCTGAACACCATAACCGATTTCTATAAGGACACACTTATGGGAGAAAAGCGCAGAGAAAAGAACAGACTAACCAGACAGAGCATGTTGACCCTGATAGGTAAGTCAGAAGAGGATTTTAAAACATCAGGTGCATCAATGTTGTGAACTGTGCTATTTTTCTGTCATCGTATAAGCCGATGATATTTTTGATTTTAGTTTTGGTTGCTCTGCTAAATCTGCCGTTATAAAAATCATGCGCTGTCTCTAATGCTTTTACACCGCGTTGGATGGTCTGGCCCATGTCAGTATAATTATTTCTATTTAAATGTTTTCTGAAGATAAGTTTTGAAAACTAAATATATTTGGGAAATGCTGTTCAGAAATTCACTTAAAGAAATATTATATTAATTATACAGTATAGTATTATGTCTATGAAAACTGCAGAGGATATGACCATGGAAGAGAGAAGAGAACAGTTGGCAATTTACAACCTGTATTATTAAAAGCGAAGACAGGAGGAAGGATACATGCAGAAAAACCGCGACTCTGCTCTGAAGCGCATTCAAAAGAAGAAGTTAAAGCAATATCTGAAAGACAACAATATCAATAGCACAATAGAAGATTTAAACGAAGAGCAACTGGCAGAATTCAACAGCAGTCAGAGTAAGAAAGGACCTAAGTATGACATGAATAATGTTAAAGTTGTGATGCCCATGAATACAGAAGAATGATGATTTAATATCAGAAATACGATCAAGTCAATATTTTCGTAGGGTATTTATATGAGTAAGCAAGAGATTATTAGTATTGTGTATTGCGATCGCGCGGGTTATGGGAACAGACAGAGGACCGTAGAGGAAGCACGAGAGAAAGATAAACGTATAACTATTGACGATGTCAATGAGTTTTTCAAGAAGAACGTTGAGGCAAAAAGAAAACCTGCAGGACAGAACAGTTTTGTAGCATCACATTCGGCATACGAGTATCAAATGGACTTGTTTTTCATAAATGATTTGGAAGATTAACAGTTTAAGGTTGGTATGATCATGACAGATGTCTTTGATGAGTTATCCATGTTGTTGCGACAAAAGGTAAAAAAGAAGAGGATTTAGCAAGTGGTATGTTTGAGTGTTTAATAAGTTGGGGAAGAACCTAAGATTATTTATACTGATGATGAAGGTGCTCTATCCAAGGAAGCTATTCGAACCTATTTAAAGGAACAAAAAACAGGGCACCACAGGACAAGGGCACATGCAATTTTCAGTGAGAGGGCGATCAGAACTTTTAAGGACATGTTATCTAAAAGAGATGAGGCTGACGAGAAGAAGGGCAAAAGTAATATTCAGTGGACTGATTACATTCACGAGATATTGCTGACATATAACAACCAAATGAAACATTCCAGTACAAAGTTCACACCAAAAGAGGCACGAAAATCAAGAAACGAATTCACAGTCAGGTTGAATATTGCTAGTAATGGTAATCGGTATAGGATATATCCAGAACTTGACAAGGGTGACGAAGTCAAGATATTTAGGAAGCGAAAACCGAATGAGAAGGAACGGGTGGGACATTGGAGTAAAAACGTGTATACCGTTGGGAGAATTGAAAAGAAATCAGGTCAAAGTCATTATTATGTAGATGGTATGGAGAGACCTTACTTAAGACGTCAATTGTTAAAAGTTTAATATCCCTTTAATCATTATTCTTAAGAAAAGTGTTTAATGAAGAAATATCTAGTTATACTTTAAGAGAATTGTTCACCGAAGAAGAGCAGGAAAAACACTAATGCAGTCGTAAATGTTATCAAAATGAAAACAGTTATAAACGTGGCGGTGAATATCTGTCGCAAGTGCAAGTTCACAGAGCCAAATATATGTTTGTATAACTTGCCAATACCTGAAAGTGCTATTAAAACCATCTGCAATTTCAGTTACAAAGAATGCGACACATGTGCCACACTAAAAGAAGTTAAAAGTCACGTTTACGGTTGTAGTACGAAGAAGTTTGAGAATACCGTTGAAGCAATTGAAGATAAACATATGCATAAAATACAAGAATCTGGAGAACGTGCAAAACAATGAAACACAAACATTCATTATTATGTGAATTTCAGCCCATTCCCAACATACCAAAAAGTTGTAAATCATATACTGAAGGGAGACGCTAGCAATTACAACCAGCAAATCCATAATGAAATTAAGAACTGTGATAATTCGTCATGGAATGGTAGCCGTGGTACCGTGAGTTGTCAAACTTGATTTTGTGTGTTCTTGCGGATTTACTGTTTGTGCTTTGTTGTTGTTCAGTGCCTTGTATCATTTTATGCATATGTATTATCTTTGCATGGGTTTCAAGAAAATATGGTATTTGTGTTTAGTTGAAGTTTTGTTTTAAGGGCTGAGGACGCAATAAACAGCAACAGCAACCCACGAACCAACCCAAGTCACTAGTAGTGGTAGAACATCATCGATTTGAGTTGCTCAGTCATGTAGGGCACGACGATGCACGCAGTTGGTCGGTCTCTTCGGAGGGTGGAAGTGGCAGGGAGTTGAGTTAGGGTGCAGGGTCTAGGGTTACTTCAGAAGCACTCGCTACAGATTTTACACAACAAGAGAGGAGCAATTCTGGCACGGAATTGGCCATGAGGCTGAATTTGGTAAGCGTAGAGAAGAAGAACAGGTTTCATCCCGAGATTGAGAAAGGTGACGAAATCACGATATACAGGAAGCGCGAACCAAATGAGAGGGAAAGGGCTGGCAGCGGCTGGCAACCGGAGAAATATTCATGTAGCTGAGAGGGTTAAGAAAGTCAACGACTATCTTGAGGCTATGGATAGTGCATACTTGTGGTAAGAGTCGTACAAGTTGCGTAGTAGCCAGTTACTCCCGTCTTTGTTGTTTGTGTTGCTGCATTTGGACTTGGTGTGATGCTTTTGGATCTGGTCAGATGTGGTCAACATCACTATAGATGTTCGCAAGGTGCTAGAGGATCATAGCATAGCCGTAGGTGCAGTTGTCGTCGTGTTTTTTAGCTAATTACGGGGCTTGCAGAAACATTGCAGATAAGCTCTAAGTCGCATCACGGTGTTTTTCAGCCATGCCGCGCATTGCATTAATGCAGGCCGTCATTGCTTTGCATTGCGTGGTTGGGTCAACAGCCGTTGCAGTCGACGCAAGAGGGCTGAATGGTTCGCTAGTCCAAGCCAACTCCAGCATCCAGTCTTCATCTCGTGATTTGGGCGGTGTCTTTGGCGTTACAATCTCGGACAGCGCGCTTCAGTCACTATGTCCAAACCGTGGAGTTGCAGCCGAAGTGGTTTTCCAAGATGTGATGCATCGAGGCAACAGGAAGAAGCTGAAGCGAGCTCTGCAAAGAGCCCTTGAATTGGCCGCGTGTGGGGCAGTAGTTGCTGCAAGTCTCGGGGGAGTACTCACGCCATTGAGCAAAGTCTTCACCAAGTACTTCGGGGATGCAAAACAGAACCGTACGGCAACAACGCAGGCGGTTCATGCAACTTTCGTGGCAGCTCGCAATGTGATGGTCGATGGAGTTGCTATCAGGCAGGTCGACTCTACAGAGCCACGTTGCAGATGTCCAACGAAGGACACGCGGCCGCTCGTTCTTCGGGTCACAGCGCCGTATATATGCCCAGACGAGCGGCTGGGTGCCTTTGTAGAATTCCATGGCGGTGCCGTCATCAAGGATAATCAGGGGCGCCCTTGGATCAACGTTTGTGTGGACAGCCATGCAGAGATCACAGATTTGCTTGCAGCCACAGTTCTGCACGAAGCAGTGCACATCGCCGATTATCTCGTTACAGACGTACCTCTGGAGAATGATGTGAAAGCATATGGACCAGAGAAGTGCAAGAGCTTGGCTGCGGAGAGCGAAGGCTTGGCACTTCTGAACGCAGACTCGTATGTGAGTTTCATTATTGAGTGTTTGCAGGTGAAAGACGAATTATTGAGTCGCAGACGTACTGAAGCATTTTACGAATCCTTTAGACATCTGGGCCTATAGGCCAGTGATGACATATTTATCTAGCAGTGCTTCTATAAGGCCTCGCGCCCAGCACAGAGTCTTCCACGAGACTGCTTGTGCCTGCGCTTGACAAGATTGCGGAACTCGTGCACGGAAAAAATTGGTCAGGAAACTAGCTGCGCTCTACAGAAAGCAAAGTACGTGATCCAAGTCTATCAGGAACCCTCCGTCCATGATAAGACCACTCTTGGGATTATGGATGAGGTAATGGTTTGTTCCGATACTTGTATTGGTAATGGGGTAGTAGTAGTGATATAGTTGTTGAGATGTAGGGGGTATAGGAATAGTCTTCTAACGGGTGGGTTAGTGGTAGGCTGGTGGTATTATCACCTAAAATGGGCAAGGGTTCTGCTAACTTAAACCCCTAAACCCTCAACCCCTCAATCAGAGAACTAGTCATATGTGGTGGCGCTTCGACGCTGCAGGCAATTCGTCTCCAGAGCGAGGCTCCCGTCCCAGACCCAGCAGCGTTTAGCATTTGGGGTTTAGGGATGTTGGGTTTGGGGGTTTAGCGTTCAGGGTTTAGACTTTAGGGTTTAGGGGTTAGGGTTCAGGGTTTAGTTCAGAGTTTAGGGTTCAGGGTTTAGGGTTTAGGGTTCAAGGTTTAGGGTTTAGGGTTTAGGATATAGGGCGTAGGGTTTAGAGTTAAAGGTTCAGGGTTCAGGGTTTCAGGTCTAGGGCTAGGCCCTAAACCCTAAACTTAATGGACCACGGGGCTCAGAAAGTAGGGTTATAATTGGCTGGATACCCATAGCCAGTTTCAGCTAAGGCGTGGAATTTCGTACTGTGGGGACAATCAGGGACCCAGGGTTTAGGGTCATTGTTGCCCGAAACACCTGGTCTTTCCGGCAACCCTGGAATCCTAAACCGCAGGGCTCATTCGTAGCGCTTTGTGAAGTTCTGTTCGAAACTTGCCTCCCGTGCGGTTACGGTTTCGGGCGTGGCAAGTGCACAAAGCCATAGGAATCAACCCAAAACCCTAAACCCTGAACCTCTAAATCCTAGACTAGAACCCTTTGAGACTCAAGAACTTACGATTGCAAATCTCACACCGCAGAACCGAGGATGACTCGTCGGGACAAAACTCCAAGGCGACGCGGAATCTCGTGTATTGCGTGTCGGTATACCCGAAACCGTAGAGAGTTGGCTTCGGTTTTCTGAAGCTGCCCAAGGTCTTGAGGGGTTTGTTGAAGGCTGTGCAGTGTCGATTTGACGGGCTTCTACGACTGGGCAGGAGGAGACAGTATGACTCCGAGGAGAACTAGGCGACACGATGTTTCCCTGTTTTCAACATAAGCTGAACAAGGGTCACCCGATTTACAACACGACCCCAACTTCAAAAAGTCCCGGAAGCGCAGCTGTAAGTAGACGAGCTACATGAAACCGACGACCCCGAAATTGAAATGCTATACTAAACGCCTTGGCCCCAACCGCTTAAGCCACAAATAAAAAGATTTGAAGTCTAGAGGGTAGAATCCGCAAATCTTTCTCTGACGCCATAACGCTTCAGCCCAGCCCCAACCCACAATGTGTCCTCAAACCCTAAGCCCTGAGACCTAACCCCCTTAACCCTAAACCCTGAACCCTAAACCCGAACCCCTAACCCCTAAACCCCTAAACCCCTAAACCCTGAACCCTAGATCCCAGGAGTCAAGGCTTGCGCTTCAAAGCTCTCGCATTCTCTCAGCGAACTAAAAAGCAGTCCAAAAGTTTACAATGTAAGGGCCTTAGAAACTAGAATAGGGTTTTTGGGCTTTATTTTGATTGTAACTATAGTACAATATATCCCCAAGCAGTATTCTTGTTGAGGCCCTCACAGCAATTTGCTAAGCACCTTGGTATTTTAGTTGTTTTGAAGAGGCTCATTTGAGGCTCCATGTTGGTACAGGGTAGGCGTGTGACGTCGGGCTAAAAGCCTCGTACTTTAAGGGTTTAGGGTTTAGGGTTTAGGGTCTTAGGGTTTAGGGTTTAGGGTTTAGGGTATAGGGTTTAGGGTTTAGGGTATAGGTTGGGATCCGGAGCTATACTCCTGAGGTCCTAAACCTTGAAACCCTGGAGAACAAAGCTCCGAAGCCCTGACGGCCCCAACACGGTTTAGGGTTCGGGATTTAGGATATAGAGTTTAGGGTTTAGGGTTTGGGGTCTTCCTGAAGATTCTCTTCGGCAACTGCCTCTCTCTATGTCTATCTCTGTCTCTCTGTCTATATCTTCATCAAAACCGGTTTCTATGTATACAGTTTTCCTGAAGAGTCTCTTCAGCAACTGCTCCGAGAGGCTGGCTTGCGGATGTTCCTCCAACGCATGCAGACCACTGGCCTAGGTGCTGGCGGTCAGGCCTGCAGTCTGCCTCCTAGGCAGTACTACGGTTGATGATATAAATCCTGAATTTCCATACGGACCCCAGACTATGAGAACTATGGTATATTCCTTATTATGGGTAATGCAGGATTTATATCACAAACCGTAGGGATCTTGGGGTTTCCTTATTATAATTTCAATTTAAAATGGGCCCCCCCAAAACCCGGTTCTAATTATCAAGGCCCCTGCATTATCCTTCTTTCCTAGGTAGTGCTAGGGAGAATGCTTAGAGGGGACCCTTCTTGACCCTACGTCTGAAAAGAGACCTTATTGAGAGGGTCTATATCTCCAAAAATCCCCCTAATCCTAACTCCTACTGTCTGTCTGTCTGTCTGTCTGTCTGTCCGTCTGTCTCTCTGCATGCACGCATGCAGAGACGTGTTTATGTCTGTGTGCAGGGATGAACCTATGAATATATGTTGACATATATGTATATATGTATATATATATATATACACATGTGTACAAACTTTTCAGCAGGCCTGTATGTAGATAAGCGAGGTCGGGTTTAGATGTGCAGAGAGGCGAGAGTTGAGCCGTCCGGAAGTCCGGTCGAAATCAGACCCAGGATCCTCTGCAGGGTGCTGAGGCTCTTTCTGGGGTTTAGGGTTTAGGGTTTAGGGTTTAGGGGATCAAAATAAAACCTAAACCCATAACCTTAACCTTGCGACGGTTTAGGATCATGCCTTGGTTCATTGAGGATTTCTTATGCTAACTAACGGTATGCTCCGTGGCAAAGGATGCGTCGGGGATGTATTTCTTGAAGGCAGTGCGCACTCGTAGTGCACGCCACAAGATCCTAAACCCTCAACCCAAGGCCTTCTTAGGAGCCGCAGACTGCAGCGTCTTGGGACAAAAGAGTTCGAAAAGCAACAACCCTAAACCCTAAACCTACCAGACTCGAAACCCTAAACCTACGAGACCCCCCTAAGCCCTTAACCCCAAAGTTCTAAACGTCTCGACTCCTCCTTGCATGAATTCAGGGTTGGCCTCCAAGACTTTTCAAACCCAACAGCGTCAACTCAACGCCTCCTCTAGGGTTTAGTAAAGTTTAGGGTTAGGGGTTTAGGGTTTAGGGGTTTACTTGGAGGCTCTTGGGTAGTTATCAGTGGGGTGATCATAACATAAGTCTTTCACACCCCCCCACCAACCACCACACACCACTAACCACACACCACCCACCACCCACCACCCACCACCCACCACCCACCACCCACCACCCACCACCACCACCACCCACCGCCCGCCACCCGCCACCCCCCACTCCCCACCCAGCACCCGCCACCCGCCACCTACCACCCACCGCCACCCACACGGACGATAGCCACTAAAATCCTGAAAAAGAACAAACTTTCCCATGCAAGCACCACCCACGACCCACCACCCACCACCCGCAGCCACCCACCACCCAACACCCACCACCACCCACCACCACCCACCACCCACCACCCACCACCCACCACCCACCCACCACCCACCACCCACCCCACCACCCACCACCCACCACCCACCACCCAGCGCCCACCCCGCTAGTTGACTGGGGCGACTGCTACGCTGTCGAACCCTTTCAGATTGTCACGTGACAATCTCCCCACCCCCCCCCCCCCCCCCCCCCCCCCCCCCCCCCCCCCCCCCACCCCCCTAAGATTGTCACGATGAGACAATCCCACCCTCCCAATGCCCCCCAGATTGTCGCGAAGTACAATCTCCCCCAATCTCCCCTATCCTCTGGTCGTGCCCTGACAATTTCCGCCCCCCACCCGCCAGATTGTCACGACATGACAATCTGTCCCCCCTCCCAAGGCCCCCCCCCCCACACCCCCCAGATTGTCGCGAAGTACAATCTCCCCTCCCCCCTCGCCCCAGATTGTCACGCTCTGACAATTTCCGCCCCCCACCCCCTCCCCAAACAAAGATTGTCATGACATGACAATCTCCCCCCCCCACAAATTGTCACGAAATTACAATTTAAATTGTCATTCCGCAACAATTTTCCGATAGGAGCCAGGCACACACAGTGCGCTTTTGGGACTCGCGTTCGGGCCTGGGGACGCCGGGGTACTGTCATCTTTGTGGAAAGAAGGGTGGCCTAACCGTAGCATGGCTGCGGCGAACCATTCGACTGACCGGCCTCCACATGCCTAGCAAGAGCCGACTCACTGTTTCGCTGCAGCTGCCTTGCTCAAGAGTTGCGTCGCGATTTCGAAGGGTGGACTTCAAGACGATGGCACCAAAGGCCCGGCTGGGCTGGAGGAGTCATTGATTCTGAAGCGAGCTCGTCGCAGGTCTCGAAGCATGCCAAGAAGGAGGCAAAGCGCCAAGGCTGTACCAATGGTACGGTCGAGGCCTTTCGCTTCACGCCAGAGCCTCAGAGTGCAGTGCAAATTTTTTCTGGGTGCCTGCCCCATGCCTGTTGCAGTCGCGGCCTTCCACCCGACGTGGACGCGCTCTTGACCAAGCAGCTTGACATGGGACGTGAGGCCCCGATCCTCGCCGTGCGGCCAGGTCGGCCCAAAGGCTCCGACTGGAGTTGCCAGATCCGGCTGCACGGTGAGGAGAGGGTGCGGCGGGCACAGATCAAGGGCGTGTCTGAAGACAATAAGATCCTTGTTTCACCAGAA